AAGAGTTTGGCCTGAGCCATTATCCTGCTAAAGTCTTGTCCTGCTAGTTCAAAATACATTTATAAATTTTCATCATACAAATGTTAAATTAGCCAATAGTATAAAGCTGGTCAGATTTCTTGGATCATGATGGGTGTGGAGCCTAACCAGGTTTTATCCTGGTGGTAAAGATTGTTGTAATTGTAGTTAATACACAATTGGTAAGTATTTGTTTGAAAGTATTTACATACATTCATGAAGAACGTAATACATGTGGTTGTATATTAGTATACCATTGGTATTTTGTTAGAATACAAATAATGCTAGTAAAACAAAATATAAATCTTACCTCAACCTCTTTGCTGCTTAATTTTTGAGTTTGCTTTGATGTTCTCTCTTTTTCTATCTGTAATTTTTCTTTCAATTCCTCTGCAATACCTGACATTACTTCCTCGTTCATACTAGTTTGTCGCTCTGTGGCGGCCGTCTGCATTGCTAATAATTCAATGTCTGTTCTTGATGTTATTGAACTTTCTGTTTCCTTCATTTCACTATTTCTGGAAGTATTTCCAGGCCCTGAATCAGTGTTCTTCCCATGATCCAGCACTCCGCCTAATGGCCCCACAGAGTAACGTGTTTTATTTATATCACCAAATAATCCTTGTAACTGTTTTTGTAATGCCAGATTCTGCTCATTGAGAACTGCATTTTCAGTTTGTACCTGAACTTTAAGTGTGTTAACATGTTGAAGGTCTTGCATCAATTGTTCATTTTGTTGATGGAAATTGTGAACTTGGCTAGCAAGCTCAATACAACGTTTTTTATACCCTTCCAATTCAGATTCATCCGCTGTAGTGTTAATCAAAACCTAAAAATATAAGATTCAAAATTAAATGATACCTAAAATGAGAAAGAATTTTTGACAAGTGTGTTACTTGATTTTTAACTTTTTAACAATCTCTCAATTATATAGATGCTAATATCTTTTTGTAACATGGGTCAAAATAAACAAAAGTAATATGTTGTGTTTTTTTTCCACAAATATATGTATTAAACAAATCTATGATAAAACATTTTACACATAATAATCTTACTGTTTCTGTATCTGGTGATTTATTATTCAGCTCGGCTTTAAGGTTCTCCACTTTATTACGTAAATCTAGCATTTCTCTCTCAGCACTGAATTTTTCTTCCTCTAGACTGCGTATACGAGACTGTAATTCTTCTAGCAGTGATTCCTATAGATACAAAGATAAGACAATCATGACCTATACCCCTACTGACTGTATAATGGACTTGTCCTACTTTGAATTTTGAACTGTCCATTATTAATTTAAGGGATTTCAATATCAAATGAATGAAATTAAATAACTGTCAGTATATAATCTGGTCAGACTGAACAAGGGTACATGCTAGCCAGTGTCACTTGCACATGTTTACTTTTAGAACCACAGGATCATTTATTTATCATACAAATATCACATGCAATTTTTGAGAATTCAAAATCAAATTGAATAAAAAGATAATATTCAAGTCAAGTCTCTCTTGTAATTGCAATATTTTGGCAGGATAGTTCCATCAAAAATATTTAGTACATGTACATAAAAACTCTACTAATTCAATTTTTGTCAAACAGTGACTTTCCAGCTTTATTGGTGTATGAAGAACAGGTGAAGAATTACCAGCCCCTCTATGCATGACGTAAAGCTCTAGCACCACAGTAGAACCACTGAAGGTAGTTGGAAAGCTTTCTCACATTAAAGAATCCAAGTTTCCTAGATAATTTGAACCTATACTACCAACATCATGAAAGAGAGTGCATAACATAATAATAAATATGGCAAGTCAGTAAAAATATATTTACATATAAATCTGTAAGTCATTAAAATAGCAGGAAAAGTCAAATTATATTAGTGGTTCCATGTTCTTTCATGGCTATGTCTCTGATGAAAATATCGAATCTGATGTTTAGCCATGCTAGTACATGTATATGCCAAATTTTACACTGAAGCATACAAAGAAATATGTTCTATATATGTAATACTGCATGTGTTATTTACCTGTTTATCAGGTGATTCCAAAGCTTGTTTATATTTTTCATTCTCTAATTTTAACAAGTTGATCTGCCTATGTAGATGCTCGAAACGTAACAGGTTTTGTTTATTACTATTATTCACTTTTTCCTTCCATTGCAACAACATCTGAAACTGTTTCTTCATGTTTTCATTATTTTCCTTCAAGTACTCTGTGAGGAAATATTAAATCAGAAGAAATGTAAGTGACACAAATAAATGTATTCATAAGAAAAAACATTTGAAATTATCCCTACATAAATTCACCTGCCATTTCCTTTCTGAATGGTGGGGTTTCTGGTACATGTATTGACTATTGCACATTCAATCAATGACAATACATAGGTACATGAAGCATTAACCCATTACCTTATTTAGGCCCCTGACGCTTGTTTTTGTTTGAGAAATGTTGTTTAAAAAAGTGACCACTTTTGTGGCGCCTCCCCCTATCCAAAAGATACATCAGGGGTTGCCTGAAGGAGGATATGCCCCCTTCTGTTTGGGGGGGGGTTGAAGGGGGCAGAAGTCCCCCTCATCGCCAAGAAAATTTTGGACTTCTTAGAGGTTAAAAATGACCCCAGATCGATCATAAGGTAACGTGTAGCCTTTGACTCTATCTCAATCCATTGAGAAGTTGCAGCACTTTGAAAGCAATTTTGATGGAAAAAATCACCGCAAAATAGTGATTTTTTTGGCAATTTTGTGATGTCCCCTCGTTCCTATGTTAACAGTAAATTTAAGACTGAGCATTATGTTACAAAGGCAATTGTCCAGTCAACATTTGTGCCAAGTTTGATTAGTATTGAATCAGTTTTTATAGTTTTATAGCAATTTGAACTTGTAACAGGAGACTTTTCAATGAAAACAGCCATTTTTCACAAAATGCTCATGCAGTAATGGGTTCACTTTTTAATGATCATTATTAAATAGCCTTATAGTATTGATACTGTGTGCATGATTTGCAACAACAAATTTGTTTTTATAAGCGTAGAACCAGTATGTACATTTTTGTATATCTTTCAACAAGCAAATTTGTTGAATTTATTTCCCCTGCCGAGTACTGGTTAATACTAACACAACAACTGAAGACATAAGGCTTTATTGATATATTTATCATGGCATAAACAGTAATATTCTTTGTACTTGATAAATATTCAGGGCAATAACAGAGCCATAACTCTGTGTTAAATTGTAATCTCCTCTTGGTATTAATGGTTCCCATTAAGTTTCATTGAATTCCAGCCAGTAATTGCAGAGAACTCGCGCAGAAACGATTATTACTCTACATTGTATACGCATACTGCATAACTAATCAAGGGCCATTACTATGAGTTAAAGTGTCTGACAGGAACAAGGCAATGATATGCGCATCTCCTCTTTGTATGGAAGGTTCCTATAAAGTTCGCTCTATATGCATACTGCATAACTAATCAAGGGCCATAACTCTGAGTTAAAGTGTCTGATCAGAACAAGCCAACTATATGGGATATTTCTGGGGCTGGGAACGAATAAGGAATTTGATGTTCGAATATTTGTTTTCCATATTCGAATATTCGTTTTTACAATGTTTGTTCCAATATTTCTCTTCAACGTATAAGCATCTGAAATCGATTGTGTCAAATACTATACTACTTTAATATGCTTGGGATAATCGACAATTAAAAAAACCTTCATTAGTTTACGATGTTAGTTTTTTTCCGTTTTATTATTTATTTTGTAAATTGATATATATGTTTACTTTTGAAATAATATCATAATTTGATTGTCTTTTGTCAGTTTATCCGACTGCTGATCCTTTGTCTAATTAATTACCCCAAACTTTTCACAGTTATTTGGCGTTAGTTTTTTACACGCATTATACAAACAAACATGAACACCTAATCAACTTGGGGTCAAGGGTTTAATTTACAGTCTAAATAGAAATTTGAAAGTAGTAACAAAAAAAATATTAAAACATTTCTTTTATTTTTCGAATATTCATATTCGTTTTTCAGTGTTCAAATATTCGGTAGTGTTTCGATTATTCGAATAAAATTCCCGGCCCTAGATATTTCTTGTAAAATAAAGAAATAACTTTTGTTTAATGAGTTATTTTCATGGATTTTCTTATACAATAGAGAGTATATAATTCATGAATTTTGGTAACAACTATTTCATTGAAAATGATCACAGATATTAAGAAGTCAGGAGCTGAACCATTAAGGCATGGAGGTTTAATAGTAAAGCATACAGTATACCTTTTAAAGTTGCATTCTCAGAGGCAAGCTCCTGCAGTTTCTCCATGGCTTGTTCTAAAGAAATATCTGTCATAGATGGCTGTATGCCATTTTGTACTGGACTAATAAATCCATTGTTACTCGGTCCAGTCTGATTGGACAACACTGAGAATGAGCTTCCAGACGACGGTGCCACCATACTTCTGTTTCCCTGATTACCTAATCCTGGTTGTTGGTTGCCCTGGCCTGCTGGTACAGGCAGACCACCATTCATAAACTGATGATTCATATCTAAATCAATGAAAAAATGTGATCACTTTTACTTTGTGTATGCTATATAGAATAAACAATAATTGTATGAAATTGATAGATTAGGTTAGATCAACTTAGATGCCTGGTATAACCAGTAAATACCGTACGGTAGGTAACTCATTGTAGGAAATTTCTGTTTGTTTTATTTTTCTACTAATATAAACCTAGGCTCTTAAAGTCATGCCAGCTGACTTGTATTTTATGATTAGAAAAAGAATCCCAACACTGACTAGTTGGATTTGAACCCACAACTTTCGGAGTAGGAGTTACCACTCTCTCTCCAGTATTTCCAGTCGTACAGGCCATCCTTAAAAAAATGTTTGTTTGCAGTAATGCGACCGACTCACAAAATTTGCCCCTACTCAAAAGTTTTTTTCATGGTCTGGATAAAAAAAAAATTTTTTTTGAATCAAAAAATTATGCCTTGTGCTTTGTTTTTGTTCTTTTAAAGGTTAATAGAAGAAATAAAATGTAGGTATTATTTAATTAGAATTCATTTATCAATTTATTAATTGTTACCAGATTATCAAAGCATAAATTGTCCAGCATTTTGAAATTCCATGTTTATTTGGGAGTACAGTTCAAAAAAAAAAAAAAAAAAAAAAAAAAAATCGACCTACCTACCCACCTTGAAAATTCTGGGTCGGGTTACTGCAAACAAACATTTTTTTAAGGATGGCCACATGTAGGTGTGCTCAATATATTCCCTCTGACAAAACCTAGTAAAAGTGCAGTCACTATGACTTGGTTACCTTTGTTAAACAATTGTATTTGGAAAATTTATTACTCCTGGTGAGATGGATATACCCATACCCTATATAGGAATCAAAATTAGTTACAGGTCAACAAAGAAACAAATATCCTGTTTTTTTCTTATTATTGTACAGCTATGGACTAACAAGAAATCAATAAACTAACGAAACCCTCATAACGCAATTACATGTATAACAATTTGCTTTTGCTAAGTAATGATTTGTTAACACTGGAAAACAAGCGACTTCATGTGATTGAATCATGATATGTTATTTTGTATGTATATAATGACGTTGACCATGTTCAAAGTATATTTACTTTAGGTCTATAAATGAACTATTAAATGTGTTGAAACATGAAGAGATATACAAATGTGTATGTTTAAAACCGAACACATAACAGTGGAACTCAATAAAATGTTTATCTGTACACAAGAACAGTAGCCACTTGCTCCATGGTCGCCGCATCCATGGCTTCGTTGGCGTTAAAGCCAAAGAATGGAGCGTTGTTGCATGCCTCAACAATGGGGGACAGTAGTGGATTATCTTCCCTTGATAAAAACCGAGGTTAACCAAAATGTAAGTAGGTCCAAATATTTGGAATCCTTTGCTTTTATCGTTGAGTTTTATATAAGACAGGTTGATATGTCTTAATCAATTATTTACACATGCATCAACAAATATGTAAACCTTAAGGAAAAAATGATTAATTTATGTCAACAGATTCTACATCTTATCGCAATATCTAATCTGAATATTACAAATGATCATAATTAGCCCTAATTAATTCAGTTTGCTACAAAGAAATAGGCGATAAAGTCCGAGTAATCCAATAGCTTAGGACCTATCTATTTATAGGGAGTACTCAGGGGAGGTTATTCACTACTGTCCCTCATTGTTGCCACATAGAAATTATTTCGTTCTGGATGTGGGATGAAGTGTAATTTTTGCAGGGATTACTGTAATCAAAGTGGTTCCGTAAAATCGTATTATGATTCGCCTGAAGCTGAAAAATTGCGGTTGACTTGGCGACCCCAATCGCAATATTGTGCCTTCCATCAAAGTGTGTACAATAGCAATTAATATTTTCTGGGGTTTTTTTTTGTCAAGGGCCTATTCATGTGCGATCGAATGGAGGAATAGATTCTACTTGAAATTTAAGACCACATTTAAACAAAATTTATGAAATACGGTAACTAAATAAATCTAAAATACAATTATGTTAAGGGAACTATAGGCCTTGTGATTTTTTGGAACTAACAAATCAATCAGTATAGATAGATCTAAAACTAGGTATTACTTAAATGTAGATGTAGTACACATACAACTAACTCTAATCCAATCTAATTAAAATCAGCTCCTAATTAACACTACATGCAAGAAATAATTAAATAGAACTAAGCATTAGTTAATTTATCCCTAATCTAGTTTATCAATCACAAAAGGTTAAATAGAACCTCCTAACTTGCTCCGAAATGCCTAATGATGACAGAGTCCCACTTGGCGTTTAAAAGATGAAACTTTTTGTAAGCGTATAGTGATTGCTTCATAAAAACATCTCCGGAAGGAGGGACACAACATTTATGGCTCGCCATTTTGAAAATACTCGCTATATAACTTTCTATACTAAAGGGAACTACCGCTATTATGCTCGAGTTCGAAACATTTACAGTATAGTATTAATTTATGAATATTATTCACTCTATATAGTCGTTATAGTTTTAAAGATTTGAAACTTACTATACCTAAATACTTCGAAGATCTATATTTATATTAGAATCAATTATATAATTAGAGGTAACCGTAACTAAATTTTGGAATCATGCCTTAAACCTCAAACATCACCCTCACCCACACCCTTTAGTTTTCTCACCGTTTTAATAGTATATTTGAATTTTTGTTTTCCTGAATCAATGTTACGCATGTGTGTAAGTACGTAACGCTAACTACGCCCCTGATACAGGTACTTGCCTGTGATAAATTAAATTTAAAACTGACAGTTGGACTTTTAAAAATGATATTACGATTTGATTCACAGATTCTTTTTAAGTGCAGCTTAAGTAAATACTTTGGTCACATTGGTGGCAACAATATGCCGCAAAGAAACGACTCACAGTTTTTAAAAAATATTTCTCTGAATCTGAACGAATTTAGATGTTTAAAAAATTTCGAAACAATATTGGAAATTTTAGCAAACTAGAATACATGTAGATTTTCTATATTCTATTTAAGTTGACATTCCAAACAAGCACAACACAAATAAAAGAAATACATGTACATTATGTATACACAGAGACATAGATAACAGAGATAGGCAACTTCCTAACCAGTTAAAATATCACGCGTGCCTGCTAAACTTAAAACTTGTAGCAAGTTAAACTTATTAACCAGATATCAAAATCAGGAAAATAATACATTTTCTGAAAGCTTATGCATTTGTCTATAGCTGCAGGTAAAAATATTTACAGTTCCCATTTAAATAAATGATACATCTATTTTTAAAGAGAACTACTTGTTTATTTTTGTTACAAAACATTTCATATGACGAAAAAACTAGCTCAGTGGGTATGTTCTGCTATGTTTTTCTAAGTGAAAGGCATTGAAAGTTACAAATATTTTAACATGCAGCTATAGATAAAAGATTTACCTTTCAAATGGTATATACTATTAAAGGATCAAATGTACATCCATTAAATTTTATTTGCTACAAAATGCCTATTTTTTCACTTTTTGATAGGCATGAGTGATATTTCAATGGAGTATATAGGAGCTGCTTATCTCTGTTATCTAGGTCTCTGGTATACAGTATACTGTACTCCTCTTAGTTCACGGTACTTAACACTTTAAAACAGTAAAGAACACAAACAATAAACTTACACAACAAAAACTGTTATAAACTGTATCATTTAGTCATTTTTCTGCTATATGACACAAGGAAACAACAATATATTCAATCAAAATTAGTTTTAATTTGTCAGATGTAAACCGTGTGTCGGCCATTTTGAAAACAGTATGTCATCATTTAAATCGCGGTAATGTTGTTTTATTTCAGTTTTTTCATGTTTCAGTTAAAATTTCTTTGTTATTTTGCATAATTTTAAATATTAAAAGTATCTTTACATTGTAACTTAATTTTTTTTCTTTCAACAAACAAGAACATTTAGAAAATGATGATTGTTTTAGACGTATGCACAAATCTAATGGACTATTGTTGTTTTTTGCAGAAGTTTGTAAAATGTTGTTCAGTTTTACGTAAAAATCTATAGATTTAAATTATTTTTCACAAAAACTTTGTTGTTAAGGTGGTTGAATAAAAAATGTCAATTCTGACCAATTATAACAATGGTCACATGAAAATATGCCATTACCGTGAGATAAGTGATGACGCGGAATTAGTGATGTTGAGTATATATTTTTATGCGGTTCCAACAATAAAGTGTGATAAAACAAGATCTAAATAAATTGAAAAATGGGCTGACCCGTGCCGAGTTGGAATAGGGCCGAGCTGACTCAGGGACCGAGTACGATTTAGGGCCGATCTGATCCTTGGCCTTGCCTATGTAATCAGGTATGATAACATTCAAGAGAGGAGGCTAAATTTTTTATTATAAATTATGTTAGAGTCTGACAAAATTAAAGTTTTCATCTCGAACATTTATTACAAATCTCATTTTTTATAATGAGTTAAATCAAATAAAGACAGTATACTTTACCTAGCTTTTATATATTGTCATAACTAAATGCGAAATAAAAACTAGAATACCCAACTTAAAATATTAGATTGGACTAACTTGGGGTTTTCCAGTGACGGAAGTATAATCATCCAGACCATTCGGAACTACCTCGGCTATTATCTCAATCGCAACTACTCGGCCCTTTCCGTCAGTATTCGGATAAAGACTGACGAAAAGGGCCGAGTAGTTGCGATTGATATGCAATCGCAACTACTCGGCCCTTTCCGTCAGTCTTCGGATAAGGATCTCGAACACAATAGTATGAATACACAGAACGGATGCAGTATTCCGGTCTAACCTACGCTAAGAAACTAAACATGTAAACAAATAGTAATTTAATGCTGGGAGTTGTTGACACGTTTATTTCCGATATATGAAGTAAAAGTCCACCTGAAATAGGTGAATTCATAGGTACAAAAGCAAACAATACATTATTTATATATTTACTAATGTGGCTGTGAAACCGAAAGTACAAAAAACCAACCTGTTGACATTTGGTCGGATTTATTTTAAATTGAAAATCAGAGGGCATATTTAAATAACAAATTGTTGTCGGGCATATTTTCAAGCATAAGAGTACCGGAACAGACATTAGATGTCAAATATATACATTCGTTTTACATTATCTCTGTTTCTATTTACATCAGTAAACCACGTGGTAGAACTACTTTCAATCCGTATTGTTTCCGAGGTTAATATTGTAGATAATAGCCGAGGCAGTTCCGAATGGATTGATATGCAGACAATATAGGATTCGTTGTACATACAATTTTACAAAGATAGTTTAGACACAGATACACATACACTATTCAACTCCATGGTTTAGATACAAATGTAATGAGTCAGAGATGGATATCTGTATGTCCATCTACACCGTCTGTCTTTCTGTTTAAAACATGTCTATCTGCTTTTCTGTCCGTCTGGCTCTCTGTTTTTTGTCTTTACTTGATAATTGTAAAACTTGATTAACTTGTGTAGAACATCTGCCTATCTTTAATAGGGTAGGTCTATCTGTTTGCTTTCCTTTCCTTATGCTGTCCGTCCTATATTTATGAAAACTACAACATATGGTCTGTGAATCTTATTGAAAGTATCTAAACGAAAAGATAACTCATTTATATTAAATATGGATATTAAGAGTGATTGATGAATAGTTCGGATACTTTGTTTGATAAGCCAAAAAATGAAAGCCCTGTCATACCTACAACCATGTGACCACAGGGGAAATGCCTCCTTTTATTTATTTCTGTTTCTCTCGTCAATAACAGTTACAGATGTTATTTAAATATCTGGTAAAAAAGTGATCTCTCAGATGCATTAAAAAAGCAAATCTACATGAAAATTGCAGAGCCGGTTTAATTGAGTCTGTATATGACAATATAATGAAAAAGTGCAACATCCCTCATGCCCCCTAGCACCGGATTGAGCGGTACTCAATTCTCAACACTTAAAAGTGCTGGATTCAATGATCCCGAAAACCCAGAAAAATATAACAACACTGAAGTGAAGTACGGGGCAACATTTTACGGCTGCCACACAGCACTTCACATCTGCTTTTGTGATGTATAAATATCTGGTAAAAAAGTGATCCCTCGGAAGCATTAAAAACAGCAAATTTACTGAAAATTGCAGACATGGTTTGATTGAGTCTGTGATCACGAAAGCTGTATTTGACGTTGAACATATGTTTCGCTCTATAGTGCACCAAAATTTATGCATTTCTTTGAAGAGGACTCCACTTTTTGAGTAAAATTTATTTCTTTATTTTCATATGATGAATAGTATTATTTTTTTGTAATCTCTTTTTAATTCCATTTTAGATGACTGGATGTAAAGCCGAAATATTAGAAAAGAGTATTGTTATGATTACGACAAGAAGAGAAACCTGCAAGAGACCATAATATGATTAGAAGTTCAGAAACAAGAAAAAATGTTGAACGAAACTATATTTATTTAAGACAGTAACTGTGTAAGTTGCAGAAAGAACATAAACTTCATGGCGATGTTGTCAGTAAAGTTGAAACCTTCGACTTTCATGTTTAAATCAAGTATTTGTGTAAAACAAGACACTTTAAGTGTGAAGTACGGTCCTAGGAAGAATCAAAGGCGTAAATGGCCTCCTGACAGCTAAAATATGTTACCACCATTGTTGTAACAATTATAACAGTTGAACATTTCAAGACGTTCTTTTCATGAAAAGTGCAAACACACGACTTGCAAATCTAGTGAAAAAGACCATCGAAAACAGCAAGAGAAGGCTTTTTAACCTCTATGCAATACTTTGAAAGTTATTGAAGGATAACATTTTTTAAATTTAACTAGGTGTAGTCGAACTAATGAGCATTATGAGAGACATAAAGATATGGAGATCACTCTTATATCTCTTTATATAACAAGGAAGAAAACATAAACAGGTTAAACAAGATGTGATGGCATACAAAGGTGAAATATTTTTTAAAGCAGCCTAAATGATACATGACATAAAATTGACATTTTGTACAAATAAAATTCTAATTTTGAACTAATACTATAGACATTACTACAGTTCATTTTGAGCATTATAAACAAAGATTTATTCTTAACTTACTTAAGTGTTTTGCAATATAGATAGTTGGACAATACTGGCGATGATAAATGGAGTTATTTCTACTAAATCATGTTAAAAGTGATAGTTTGCATAACATTTATGGGTGATATTTGGATGGATGAGACTTTGGTAACGTACAAATACGTTAAATGACGCAGAAAAAGTTGAGTATATTGCCAGGTGCAGTGTTTGTTCCTACGGATTTTAGGAGAAAAAAACTGAGTTTGTTCTCTTTATTTTTATAAATCTTTCAAAGATAGTTCAAAAATGCTAGAATAATGTCAATGAAATTGATGTAACGTATGTTACATTTTGCTTTTAAAATGTCTTAAGTGATTAAGTTTCTTTTAATATTTATATAAGCTTATGTGATATTAATATTGTTTGAACCTCTATTAAATTGTAAATATTAGGTATTTTTAAGATAATGCAATTTGAACGTTTAGCATTATTATTATGAGTGGGTGGGGTAATAATCGTGTGTGTCGCAAGTGAATAAATAATAATAAAAAAGGCCAAACCTGTTATTGTTCATTGCAAATTCTATTTTTATGAACACCAAATGCATGCTGGCTAAAAACTACCAACCTATAACAGAGAAAGACAAGACAATCGCCACATATTTAACATATAATGATATCATATTACGATTTTTATCCCTGGACAGGTACTCTTAAACTACCTGCCATAAGTCAAGTTTCCGAAGGTATATTTTTTAGGGTTTTACTACAAGGTCCATGCATATATATTGATTGCAAAATACTAAAGAAAGCTTGTGTTGCAATTTGTTTGATGTCAAGCTACATATAATCATAACTTTAGTGGCCTATATATCGTAGCCTGGGATTCAGGCGTTGATATTTTTTGCTTATTCATAACATACCCGCTATTTCATACTCGATTGTCAGAGATAACACAACATCTCTGGTTTTGATAGTATAGAACATAAAGTAAAATGCAGGAATTTATAGAGTAGATCTATATAGTACTTGTAAGAAACGCAGACAATATAGATATATAGTGAAAATGAATTTTGCAGACATGTATTTCTTTTATTAACAGTATAGATCATACAGTAAAATGCAGACGATATTTAGAGTATATATAGTACTTGCGAGAAACGCAGACAATATAGATATATAGTGAAAGACATGTATTTCTTTTATAAACAGTACCTAAAGCAAAATGCAGACGATATAGAGTATATATAAAATTGGTGGCGGTGTTGCTTTGACTTGTAAAACCGAAATTAAAATGAGAAAGATGGAACATGGGACCAAACAAAGTTTTGAGTTTGGCATATGGAAACTCATTTTCAAAAGTATAACAGTACACGTAGTTGGTTTATACAGACCCCCATCCCTAGCCACATGTGAGCAATTTGTAACTGACTTTTCAAATTTCATAGAAGATATCTTACCTACATACTCTAACCTGTTGATTATGGGAGACTTCAACCTTCACCTTGACAATGGTAGTGGTGCATCTACAAACTTTCAAAATTGCCTTCATGCTATGGGTTGAGAGCAACATGTCAACTTAAGTACACACACTGCTGGAAACTGTTTAGACTTGGTTATCACTGAATCGATTAATGGTGTATGTGTACTTAAATGTGAACAAGGACCTTTTCTCTCCGATCACTGTGCTGTCCACGTAGTCATTAATGTGAAGAAAGAAAACATTACCAGTAAAACTGTACAATTTAGAAACTGGAAAAGCATATCCCATTCTGAATTCTCTGATGATTTAACGAAGATTTCAGTTGATAGTGAAGATGTCAATACTTTTGTAAACTTGTTTGAATCAGAAATCCAATCTGTTATCGACAAACATGCTCCAACAAAGGAACAAACTAGGATATGCAGAACTCAAAAACCTTGGTTCAATGAGTCAATATTGGAATCTAAGCGTATTGTCCGGAAAAAAGAGAGAATTTGGAGAAAGTACAAAGAGCCAGAACAGTTCAAGAAATTTAAAGAAGCACGGAATAGATACTGTAAAGAAATTGATTCTGAGAAAAAACTAGTAATAAGTGAGAAAATTCTAAATGCCAAAGGTGATTCAAAAAAACTCTATGGTTTAATTTCGGAATTAACTGGTACTAAAGCTGAAAATCCTATGCCACAGTCTACAAATGACGGTGAGCTAGCTGAGAAGTTTGCAGACTTTTTTATGGACAAAATAGCTAAAATTCGTAAATCACTTCAGGATTTTCCAAGCTTCATTCCAAATGTCAAACAAATTCAACCTTTAGAAAATTTCGAGGATCTTACAGAAACACAGGTGAAGAGCCTTATTTGTGAACTAAATACCAAATCGTGTGAGCTGGACTTAATACCCACACATATATTAAAGTCACATCTAGATGAGCTTCTGCCAACCATTACCAAATTGGTCAATCTATCTCTGTCTAAAGGCGTATTTCCAACACACTGGAAACAGGCGATCGTTAGACCCCTTCTTAAGAAGTCTGGTTTAGAATTACAATTGTCAAACTATAGGCCTGTCAGTAACTTATCGTTTCTTTCAAAATTGATAGAAAAGGCTGCACTTTTCAGACTAAATAACCATGTCGATACCCATAATTTGTTACCCAAAAATCAATCA